AGAGAAAAAACCTGTCAGACTCCTTAATGTTTACTGCAAGAGAAAATTAATTATTTTAACACCTACTAAACCACACTGATCATAGAGCAAAGAGTGAATCTCTCTAATCCCCCTATTCGTGGGTCTGCCAAGCCCATGTAGAAGATTTTTTTTCCCCTTACCAGCAGGTTTGAATGTTACACTTTCCAGTATCCTACACAAATGACAATACTGAAGTAGCACTAGCCCTTGATATAGTACTACTATATGCATGACCTTGATACCGTACCCATAGGGATTGAGGTCTGTATGCTTTCATACTTTTCAAAACGAGGAAGCGAAGTCAACAAGCTTTGTCCTTCATGTTATTTTACAAAGCTATTCTAATCAAACACTGTGCCAATGGAATTTACGAACAACAAGATTTTGAATCATAGTGTTATTTTGCATTTTCAAAACACATGAGTCCCTCCAACTGCTATGGTAGTATGGAGGATCATAAACAACAAAGAATCAGGGCTTGCAACAAAACATTCCTTTGCAGATCTCAAGAAACACCTAAAGGAACGCCTAGTCCAGCAGTTCTTATGAAATTTTCTAATATTCAGGAGGAGAAAAATTAGTCTTTTGGCTAGCAGATGAGTCTGCTAACAACAGAAGAGGGACAGAGTTAGCGAAGACCATTAGTAAAAACCACGAATATCACCTTGAAGAGAAAGAAACCACACACCAAGCAGCTGAGCAACGGAAAGACTTACAAGCCATGTTCAGAAAGTATCTGCCTTTCAAGTAGATATTTTGGAAAACAGTCCTTATTTCCTTCAACATTACATCCAGACCGCCCTGGCTATCAGCACCTGTGTACTTTATCTATAACTTAACTCATTAATTGCAGAAAGGAAGGGAATGAATCTCCATCATTGCAGCAAGTGTGGTGGAAGAGGATGAAGCATAACACAAATTATCAATATGTGCATTGCCAATTTTCAAAATGCAAGATCTAAGTGTCCTGTCTAGACTTGGAATAGAAGTATAAGATCCCTTTAAAATGATCTGCGTGCAAATTAGGGCAATTATATGAAATATTTTATTTTAAATGTAAAATCCAACAAACACAGCCCCAGGTATATCCCCAAGAGAGCCCAAATCTGTATTTTAAAGGCCCAAAGACTGCTACCACTTGAATCACAAGAGCAAGCATCTCCCTCCCTACACATAGCAGCCAAACGAAGACTGTGCAGAGAAACGCATCAGTGAAACACTGTATTGAATCCAGAGGTCTATTCTGAATGTGGTAAGGGAGCACCACTCTTAACAACAAATCACTGGCAGGCTTCGCAATGCAGCAGAACAGAAAACTGCATGCAGCCAACACACAGAACATCCTCATCCAGCACAAAGCTAGGTCTCCGCTTCACTTGAGGTTTAGTTCTAGGGTTCTACCTCCTCCTGAAAAAACTCAGGTTTCTGCTACTCTAGCATTATCCACACTGTTGCTCCTTTTAAGAGCTGCAGAAAAGCTTTAAGATCTTTATGTTTTAACACAGGTTTTTTGTTGGTTTGTTGTTTTTTTTTTTAAAAAAAAAACAACCAACTTACCATTTGAGATAGTATTATATACCAGTGAAACTTATTAAGCTTTGTTATTTTTAATCTGCAGCTTCTTAAACCAGGAGTAATACACAGGAGAAGCCTATGAATCAGGAAGACAGTGGCGAATTAAGTCACTTTGTAAGTGCTGCTTTGGCTGCTTTTTGCATTTCTACAAGGAAAAAAAAAAAAGCTATCTACAGGTATCTTTGCTGTTTTCTACAATTCTAAAAGAAAAAAAACCACCCTTCTTACCCCAGGTATCACTTCCCCCCCCTCACTAACACTGTTCATGTAGCATAAAACATTTTCAAAAAAAAAAAATTTTTTATTACATTTGTCTTGCCTATGTGCTTCATAAAAGTTCGGGGAAACTGTGGAAGTTCAGATCTGCAAAACAGTAGAAACAAAGACAACTAAAGGCTCATACTTTAAATTCAGAACCATTGGCCACCTTTCACAGTATAGCACTTATCTGCCCTAAACAGCGTTATCTCCTTCTTCAGCACCATCTCCTGTGAGACAGTGCCAGACCTACGCTTCACCTCGGTGTAGCATCTTATCCGACTCAGACGCTGAAGTCTTTATGAACATCTTAATAATTTCCTAGCTGTACTTCTGCACTTCCACAACTATCTTTCAAGAACCTCTGCATTCTGAATTTCCATAGTCCAAAACACAGTTGCAGGATTCTGCCTGTATTTTAGAAGCAGGATTTCACTGCATGTTTTCACCTGCTCTTTCATACCCTGCCTCAGTTGTCACACTGACTCTTAGATGCCTGTGAACTTCTCACCTCAAAGTATTTGGATTTTTCCCTGGAACCGTCAACACTTGAAAACATTTTCATATCTTTCCCAGCTCTAGATTTTCCTGGGTTTTAAAATATGAATAAAAGTTCTACCTTGCATTATGAAAATCCAGTGGAAAAATACAAGCAATAGATCGCGTAATTCTGCCCTCCGCCCCCGCCATGGTTTTAAGAATAATATCGGGAAAAGAATCTACAGCAATCTCCCACAACAGCACCTCTACTGAAGTTACATAGTTTTGTTCTTATAAGGAGCGCTGTAATTTTAAATGCAGCAAAATTTGCAGTAGCTAAAGCTTTTACATCTTTCACAGAACAGTAGGCTTCTCCATACATGGCCCAGGAAGGGGCCTATCTAAAAAGAGTTCAGATACAAGGATAGCAACAACTTTTGCTACTCAAGAGCAGAATGCTCAAGTTCTCTCTATCTCCCTACTACAAGCACAGACACTCTGTTCAGTACACAGCAGGGAGGAGCAGAAACTGAAAATAATACACAGAGACTTTGAGGTGGAACATGACAATGTAGAATGAATCCTGTTGGAAATACTAATTTTGAAATTAATAGCTACTAAAAATCCCTGCAAAACAAAGCTCAGAAGCTTAGTTGTTGAGCCTCAGTCACTGTAGTACCCATACTGTTGCAATACTTAGGGCTACCAGTTTTGCTCATGTCTTCTGCCTTTCCACTGTTGACTTTCACTTTCAGTGTTTATAGTACTTTCTTTCTCTCTTCCTTTACCTCACCACTGCTTATTAAATAATTTCAGAGCTCAGACTGCTTTAAGATGCCAAAAAGTATGCTCGTGTCCTATCAAAGGGGATTTCCATATACAAAAACATATTCCACATACTTGACCAATAGGTATTACGTACACACATCCATTTGTACACATGGCAGTTCAAAGTATAAAATAAATTTTAATGAGCTAGAAACATATCCAATCCAACTTTTCTTAAAGTTTTATTTAAATAAGGACCAGTTATACCTTATGAACCTTTGCTCATGTGCCTAGTTGCAAGTCACACAGAAACTAAAGGAAGCAGAGAGAGGAAGGAATTAAGATAATAAAGAAACTGAGAGCACTGAGAAAATCCTCAGGAGTGCGTGGCTGCCGCTCAGTCATTTAAACAAGGACAAATAACACTAAGGCACTAGTAAAGTGAATAATAAGGACGAGTAAAGTAAAGCCTACTCCACCAACACAAAATGAGGGAGAAAAAGAGCTGCACAGATACATCTTTTTCCCTCTTACATCAGATATTTAACAGCGCTGCTCTGCTCATACCTATTATATAAAGAGATAGGTTTAAAACTAAAAAACAATACACACTTTATATTTAGCTTGTTATTCCAAGAACCCTGTCTAGAAAAAAATGACATTTTTATCCTATCACAAGTCCATGATGATTCATAAGCAACCTTAAATCCTTACAAAGGAAGATTTATTTTGCTCTGCCCACCTCTATGACAAATCTGTAGTTTAGCTTTCTTTACATTAAACCCACATATCTGCATGATTTGCTGAAAAAAGGCATATTTAACCAAACAGCTTTTCCAAAGATTACTCTCATATCTGGCATTTACCAGTTATCATACAATAATCTAGACACAAAGTATACTTTACGAGAAATAACTGTAAAGTATAGTATACTCTTACAAATGTAATTAGCCAGAAACAAGCAGTGGAAGTATTATGCTACAAAAAAGGTTTATTGCAGATTAGTTTTTTATATATATATAAAAATAAGCTGCTGAAACAGAATCTTGGCTCAGTGAGCTAAAAATTAACTGTAACCTGAAATAACTGGTATGCTTTTCAGGCAAATGTCACACCCACAAACTAGCCTGAGATATAATAAAGAAGTCAGTGATTCAACCAAGAGGTCCACATAACTACAATCACAGCAAAAACGACAGAAATCTTCACGTTGAATGATAACACCAGGGTGATTGTAAACAGGGGCAATGAGGTGTCCTTCGTGATCTGTGCACCACTGGAATTCCTTCTGTTGAGATCACAGTCACCTGCAGCTTCATTTCTTTAACCCTAATACACGCTTTTGTTTACTAACACTGAAAAAAGGTCCAAAATTATTCAAGAATTTGGAGGGAGAGGAGGGTGAAGAACAAAGTGGTTATTCATTTCCAATGTAGAAAAGAATTTTTCTCCTTTGTGCATCTTTCCTTGTACTAGCTTCATTGGCACAGGTCAGTTTTATGTACAGCATATTTGGTTTGTTAAGAAACAGTATGAAAAACAAGAATAGATGCTCATACATTTGAATATGTTGCTACACCAGCCTACTGCAAAGAGGAGTTCTCAGCAAGTTTATTAGCTTTTCGCACATGCATAAATGTGACATTTCATATGACTAAGTCTTTTTAAGAATTAGGGGTTTAAGATTAAAATGTATCAATTTAGAATGAAATTATATAACCCACATTAACAATGAATTATGTTAAAAAAGACCAGTAAAAACATAGCTAAATACACTTTATCTCTTGGTCATCCACTTTATGAGACCGGAAGAATATTTTTGGATGTCAGCCTCCTGAAGAAGGGTAAATTTAACTTTACCTCTACTTACCACACGGAAAGTGAAAAAATTAACTTACCTTTAACACTTTTTCTATTAACATCAGCTCCTTTTTCAAGTAAATACTGCGCAATTTCTTTGTGGCCTTTGTAACATGAGATCATTAAGCACGTATGCCCATGACGGTTTGATACTTCCAGGTCTGCTTTGTGCTCCACAAGGTATTTTACTATTTCCAGGTGACCATCAAAACAGGCAGCTCTAAGCGGCGTTGAATTTGTCAGAGTTGTATTGTTCACAGATGCACCATGATCTAACAGACACTGAACCACCTTCAAATGGCCAGCCGCCGATGCTGCCCATAATGGCGGGGCCCCCT